AAGGTCATTATGAATTAGGTCAACAAATTAGATTAATAAATTAGGTCCCACTACTATTGCTCATTCAATAAAAGACAAAAACAAAAGTTAAAACCTTTACAAACGCATCCTTCTTCAATACTAAAAATAAAAAAGTTTCATTTAGTGTTTATGCTTCAGACCTCAAATTACCTTGAGTCGCTTCTGATGTCAATAATGCTAACATGGTGTACCTATTCAATAAAAAAATAACAAAATAGGTAACACAAGGTACACTTTCTATCATGAAGTAAATTATGTGTTATATGACTGAGTGATTATAAATTTTAGTGGGACTCACTTACAAATTTATTGAATCATTAGTGGACGATTATATCACGTGATATTGCTGACATGATATAACGGTTACACACTATTTTTTCTAGATATAGAGGGCACATGAATAGATAACTATCTCTAAATGTAATCTCATAATTGGTTGATTTTCCACATGGTGTAACCAACATGTGTGTCTGTCACTTTTTTTTTTCTTTTTTCAGGGGGAATAGGGCTTGAACCATTGACTTAAAAAAAATAAAATTTTTACAAGGTAAGGAGTACCATTAGACCAAAGACTCATTAATTTGTGCCTCTATCACTTGCTCCAAGTCACCTGCTACAAATTAAAGAAAAATAATGATAAGTACACTACTTTTGTACACCACCCCATCTACACTACTTAATATGGCAATGATCTCAGTTATTAAATATTCAATAAATTCAAAAAACCTACTAATCTAATAGTTCATATTAAAATTTTACACAAAAATGATATGCATGAAATTTGTTGATTAAAGAAATAGTGGGTGGGGCTTATCTTTTACTCAACAACTTTTGGCATTAAGCATTCGGAGCTTAATAATTGAACCATAAGGATTCTTTCTTAACTCTCCTCGATCCCTTAAAAATGAATACATTCACACACACAATCCCAGATGTCTCTTAACCCCAAACCCTAGGTGAAGTGAAGGTGTGTGTATACATAGCAAACTACACTTTGGCCCTTCACCTATTGTCTTTATCTTGTATCTTCCCCTCGACTATCATTAATTATAATCACCAGAGTACACATTTCTCCAATATCCGTTTGCTTTTGGGGTGCTATGAAACCAATTCAAGTAGTTAAAGAGCGAATGTGAGAAATTCAATGTGAAAGGGGTAAATTGAGATCAAGGTCATAGTTAAGAGGGTAAGAATATAAATTTTCTTTTATATAATTTTGCAGTTTATATGTCTATAAACCCTTAAAACACGGGATCCTTCACATTCATCTATACCCAGAATGCCCTATCAAGCAAATAAAACAACTGCTTTGTTAATTCTTAACAGGGTTTGGTTCCTCGGGGTCTGAGAATCAGAATTTGAAAATCACAAGAGTTCCACATTCCAGTTGGGTATCACTTAGAGCATACGTAAGTGCCAAAGATACTAATCAAAGTGGGCAGATCTAGGTACAAAGTGCTAGAATTTAATCACAACCGGTGAAGATAACCAAGATCAAAAGGTATTAGGGCTCACCATCTCAGAATGGAGAAAATATTCATTTCAACGGTGACATCATTTCATCACTATCTCATGATGTTACAATCTAATTAGAAGACAACAAACAGGTAAAGTGAATCCTACTAATTCTATGTGTTGCTGACTTTATGTGGTGGTTGCTGGTAGTTATAAAAATAATAGGATTTTTTTTTATCTATTTCTAATCTTTTAATTGGATGATGACATCATGTAACAGTGATGACATGATGTCGTTGTTGCATTGATAAGTTCAAGTCTCCTAAAAATGATCTGGTTATTTCAATATGTATCATTTGTGGGTGACTAGACACGTCATATTGTGTACACGAGTTTGTTTTCAAAGAAAAGAAGTAAAACACAAGTTAGATTAATCACTATGCTGTCATTTTGTCTAGGTTAAGTCGAATCATGTGAGAGTAATTAAAAATTGACCTTACAACAAACAAGATTACTCCCATAAGAGAATCAATTTCCCAAGAAATTTTATACTAAAACAGGATTGTTTTATTTATCAACATATTTGTATATGACTAGTTGGTATATACGTGTCTTGCATGTGGACTATTTTAGATGTCAAATCATATATACTCTCCAAATTCCCAACGTCAATGCACTCTATCACAAAAACATTAATCATTAAGAAATTTGTTATAACATTGCTTAATGGACAATACCATTGGGATCTAATGTAATTATCGAATTCATTCGATTGATAATGCGTCTTAGTACAATGAATAAAATCTACTATCAATCTAATGACAACAACTTCAATCATTAGAATTTTTCAATTCATTAGAATTCAAAACCGAATGACAAACGCTATTCCACCATTTTCCAATCTTCTAATTTCAAAACTATTCAAAACTTAAAAGGGTAAAACTACACTTTTCTTTCAAAAACTACCACCATCACAAAACTTTGTTGTCTTCAACCAAAACTACTTCAAATTTTGCAAACTTATTTTGAACTTAATCTTCGTTAGATATAGTTAGAAATTTTCATTTTTTTCCAAAATTGACACTATGTTATGATCAAAAACTTTAGATTTCATGTCTTACATCATACCAATATTGATACAAGTACTACAAACAAAGTTGAATTTAGAATCACCCTTCCATAAAGAATACCCCTTCGTCAATACCTAAGAAGCCATCTACATGATCTCGGACTATTGTGACATTCGAGTCTTGATGACCTCTCTCTCTCATGTAATCAACCAAAAATAACCCTTAAAACAACAAAAATATCAAGAATTAATAATTTCAATGTTAGATATTGGTATCCATACACATTCATACAAAATGAGTTACAGAACACTTTTGAAGATGAGTGTTTGCCCATAAGTGAGAATGTTGGTGAGGGGTTAAAAGAGAGAATTGAGGTCTTTGACAATGGAGTCATCAAGAGACAGGTTGATTAGTATGGATCACCCACTAAACTAGATAGTCACAGTGATTCAACTCCCAGTATTTGTAAAGTCACATTTCCTTTTCACCATTTTGTCAGTTTTTTTTTTCACAATATGAGGAAGAGAGACACTAAATAAGTTAAAGAAAAATAAGTTACATTAATTATTATAGACACACTAAAATTATAATTATTTACAATAACTACTGCGTTAATTAGGAGTTATGCCCCTTTGCCTCTCTAACTTATGTACTTGACGTAGTGGAGAAAGTGGTAAGAATGTGATTAATAGCAAACTCTTGTGCTTACATGTAATTAATGTCACTTTCAGGTGTGACTTATAGAACACCTTTGAATATGAGTGTTTGCCCGTAAGTGAGGATGTTGGTGAGGGGTTAAAAGAAAGAATTGAGGTATTTGACAGTGGAGTCAATAGAGAGGTTGATTAGTATGGATCATCCACTAAACTTGATAGTCACAGTGATTCAACTTCCAATATTAGTAAAGTCACATTTCCCTTTCACAATTTTTTTAATTTTTTTTTCACAATCTATGGTTGAGATACACTACATAAGTTCAAAAAAATAAGTTGCATTATACACACTAAAATCAGAATTATTTACAACAACTATGGGGTTAATTAGGAGTTATACTCAACTATGGGGTTAATTAGGAGTTATACTCCTTTGCCTCTGTTAACTTTTGTGATGGGCCAGCCCAAAGACCCAACTCATGTTATAAGTTCAGTCTGAATAAAAAATCTAACTAGACAAGATTCAATAGGTTCAGCCCAAAAGAGGTCTACGCTCAGTCAAGTTCATTAGGGTTCGAGCGGCTACATCACCAAGAGCGTAGGTAGGGTCATCCCAAGAGCCTTATCCAAGCCACCTTGGAGTAAGCGTCATCCCAAAAGCCTCATTCACGCCCCCTTGGAATAAGGGTCATCCAAGAGTCTCATTCACGTCGTCTTGGAATAAGTCAACTATCACGTCATCCTTTGACTGGATCTTATGGGGAGCGCTGTAACTACCTTATCCGTTGAGAAGATGGCACCAGCTCTACCAAATTAGTTTTTTAGTTACTGATAAGATGCTTCAATCTGTTAGGAGGTGACTATAAATTATAAGTCCAACCAACACTTAGTGGACATCACATACAATCGAGCACATCTGTTATCACTCTCCCCTGTCTCTCATAGTTTGTATCTCTCTGTTTCCCTACACTGCTCGAAGTAATAAAATACCTAGATGACCCTAACCCTAGGTCAACTACCGAACCACTCTATATCTTTATCTTGCTTGTGTTGCTCTCTTACTTCTTAATTACTGTATTAATTACTAATAACTTGACCGATAGTGTATAATATCAATTTGTGCATCATCATTTTGTATTTGACGTAGTGGAGAAAGTAATAAGAATGTGATTAATAACAAACTATTGAGCTTACATGTAATCAATGGGACTTTCAGGTGTAGGAGGTTTATCTTTATTCATTCATATTTGGGGATTAAAATGGAGTAATTACATTATTTAAGGATAAAAAGGAAAATTGAAAGTTTTTCAATTATAGTGACTTTTTAGAGTAGTATAAGTCATATTTCCCTTTCACAGTTTTTTCAATTTTTTTTTCACAATATGTGGTAGAGATACACTACATAAGTTAAAGAAAAATATGTTACATTAATTATTATAGAGACACTAAAATCAGAATAATTAGGAGTTATGCTCTTTTGCCTCTCTAACTTTTAAATTTGACGTAGTGGAGAAAGTGGTAAGAATGTGATTAATAACAAACCCTTGAGCTTACATGTAATTGATTAAAGTTTCAGGTGTAGGAGGTTTATCTTTATTCATTCACATTTAGGGATTAAAATTGATTAATCACATTATTGAAGGATGAAAAGGGAAACTAAAAGTTTTTTCACTATAGTGACTTTTTAGAGTAGTATAGATATAGATTTGCATTGACCTCAAACTATAAGCCCATAAGGCCAGAGAAGCTCCAAGAAGAAAGTAGTCAATTCCAATAGACTTATTGGGGGGTGTCATTGGCGTGCATCCAGTAAGAATTGAACTTACGAATTCGTCAATTATGAGTTGAGCACATTAACCATTCAACCATGAATGCTTAACAGGAGTTCTTGTACATGATAAATAACTAAATACCAATTAAAATAAAATTTTGAAAATAAATCAATGCAATTTATGAAAAATCAATGAAAGGACATCACTGAAAGGGGGCTGGGAGGACAATTTTGGATAACTTGGGGACCCTATATGTTTGTGACAATCTTAAAAGGATAAATCAAGAAAAAGATCTAGTGTTAAGGTTACTAAAAGTCAAGAGTAGAAAATGGAATGCTTTTACGGTCACCGATGACTATGATTTCTTCCACACCTCACTTTCACCTTTTCTTGTGCGGTGGGATATAAATAGAAACTTGAATGAATATATATATGGAAGACCCTCTGTTAATTGGTTGTAATGTTGACGAAATTGTATATAATCAAATGTTCAGTAAGATGACTTTCTTATTGACTGGTCGTCGTCGTTTTTAGTCTTTATTTTTTTTTTTGAAAAAATTACTAATAAGCATTATTTTTTGTTTTACAAAAATTCATTAAATCTTATTATTTTTTTTTTATATCAATAAAGTCTTATGCTTTGTTTTAGGATGAATGAAAAGTAGGAGAAATACACTTTCTATCTTTCAAGGATGAAAAGTAGGAATGATACATTTTTCTTCCTTTGTGTTTGGTTGGATAAATAAAAAATAAAAATGACTAATTTTTTTTTGTCTAATATTAGGGATGACAATTGAGTCGTGTCGTGTCAGATTCGTGTTGAGTCATAAAATTATGAGTCTTTTATATTTCTTATTCGTATGTCAAATCACTTTCAAGTTTGTGTCGAGTTATAATCAAGTTCGTGTCATAAAATTCGTGTCGAGTTTGAGTCGTATCATCGTGTTGAGTCAAAAATTTTAACCCTTAATTAAGATGAAAAAAATATTTTTTTTGATTTAAAATTTTGATTTTGATTTTTTAATATATATATACACACATATTTTATTATTGTATTTTTATATGAAATTAATGTAAACATAATATAGAGACAAATAAGATACATCTTAACACAAATAATTAACTTTCCATTCACTTTCTTTCCGATTTTGGAATGATTGATTTTGGTGAGTTGGAAAAAAAGTTAATATATCCACTTTTCCATATTTCCTATTTTTCTTTCTTACCAAACATGAGATTTTATTTATCCCTCTAACTTTTTATCCTTCTATTTTTTCATCATACTAAATGGAGCATTATTTTTGATATTTTATGTCAATGAAGTCCAAAACTTCATAAATACTATATTTTATTCTAATTTTATCATTCTCTTAAAAAATAGGACGAATTACATTCACCCATGAGATTTGTCATTTAATCACTCAGACTCCCTAGCATTTGAAGTATTACACTCGGACCCTCTAAAATTTATACGAGCGTAGCACTTAGACTCCAATTGTAAATATATTTATTAATAAATTACATTCATGCTCCCTGAAATTTGTAAACATATATTAGTTATACCCATTAAGTTTAAAATGTTATATTTAGACCAAAAATATTTCAATCAAAGATAGAATATTAAATATTTTAAAATTTACAATTAAAATTCATGTTCTATTGTATCATTTATTGAAATAAAATAAAAAATAAAAATTCAAATTTTTCTTAAAAAATCGTAATTAGTATATAATTATATTGTCTATTAGAATTTAATTTGATTGTTTAAATGACCAAATTCAAATACCAAACTATCCCAATTGAAGCTAAAATATATTTTGTTCATTGTAATTTGACCCCTTGTTTAATTTTTTAGTTTTATTCTAATAGATATTATAAATGTACACTAACTATGCTTTTTTTTAAAAAAAATTAGATTTTTATTTTTGATTTTATTTAAATAAATGACATAATAGAACGTGAATTTTAGTTGTAAAATTCATGTTCTATTAAGAATGATATAGAACCCTTATTTTATTTTTTTAATTTTATTCCAATAAATAGTATAATTTGTATACTTATTACAATTTTTAAAGAAAAATTTGAATTTGAATTTTTAATTTTATTTCAATAAATGATACAATAAAACATGAATTTTGGTTGTAAAATTTAAAATATTTGATATTCTATCTTTAATTGAAATATTTTTGATCTAAGTATAACATTTTAAATTTAAGAAACCTAAATATTATACTTGTACAAACTTTAAGGAGGTCTAGGTGTAATTTATTAATAGATATATTTACAGCAGGGGTCTAAGTGTTACTCACATACAAACTTTAGGAGATTTGTGTATAATATTTTAAATGTAAGGGGATCTGAGTGATTAAGTGACAAACCTCAAGAGATCTGGGTGTAATTCTCTCTAAAAAATATACACACTTAAGATATTAGTGGATATAAAAATAGTCTTTTTTTTATCCATAAATACCCCAACTTCTTGTATTTTAATTTATCCTTAGTTCTAACAATTTTTCAACGAGGAAAAAGTGAGAATAAAAGGGCGAAAAAGCTCTACTACGTAAACTAATTACGTTAAATCCAATCTAAATTTGTACAATAACCCCAAACCACAAAGATAATATCTCAATAAAATCTATAATACATAAATAATACATTAGTCGAAGTAAAAATTAGGAGTTGTGGTCAGAAGTAAACCCATTACCGTAGTTGAGCAATAGAACAAATGACAATTAAGAAGCCTCCATCGTGTCATCACCGTAGTTGATCAAGGGAACAAATGACAATTGAAAAGACTCCACAGTGCCATCGGTGCTGTGATACCAGTTAAAAATGGAAGGGTTTTGAGCATGTCCAAACTTTACCTTTTTTTAAACTCAAATATAAATTTGGGTAAAAAAACTCCTAAAAATTTTCTTCAACGCTAAACTTATACCCATATCAAATCAAGTGATATTCATTTTTTTCACTCAAATCAATGGAGACTCAAATGCATACCCATATCTTTATAGGCCGATTGTAAAGAATTTATTCTTTTTTTATTTTAACGGTTTTGATAATGTGCAACCGATTCCACAAAGGTTTTGATATGAATAGTTATTTAGGATAATTATTTGAGGCACTTGGTAGAATATGATTGAAAGATGATAAATTTAATAATTCAAAATTCTTAAAAATTAGAAAATAAGGAAAAACTTCTCAAACCTTATTCCCAAGAAATTAATTATTTTATATATATGGGAACACTCATATCTCTTGAAATTTGTCACTTAATTACTTTGACACCTAATATTTAAAATATTATATACAGACTCCTGAAGTTTGTACGAGCATAATACTTAGACTCGTGTTGTCAATCCGTTTGTATATCCATTAATAAATTACACTCAAATTCTTTGAAGTTTATAGGCGTATAATACTTAGACCTCTCAAGTTTAAAATATTACACCTAGACCTCTTAAATTTAAAATATTACACTTAGATCCCTTATTAATTACAGAACTAACAGAATCTATTAAACGACCAAATTACCCCAATTAAAGATAGATTATATTGTGTCAATTACAGTTTGACTCTTTACAATTTTTATAAACCTAAAAATAAACTTAATAAGTTTATTAAATATTTTAAATGTGGAAAGATAGGACACTATGCTAGCAAATGTCTGACTAAATAAAAAATTCATGAATTAATTCAGGATTATGATCATTGAGAAAAATATTAAAAATTGTGATTAATTTAGAATCATAAGAAAATTATGAAGACTAATTTTCTTCCAAAGAAATATGTAATATTGATGATATAAGTGAAACAACAGAAGAATCTGAAGAAGCAAAGCAAGAAGATAAGGATAAAGCTTGCTCATCTAATTATCAAGCCCAAATGAATTATTATAAGGTTTTATTAGACAAGAATGTCTTAAGTTTAAATACTTTAGCTACTTCACAATCATTGATATTAGATCTTTTAGATCAAATTCAAGATCCTATATCTAAAAGAATTGCAATAGAACAATATTTAGAATCAACTCCTGAAGAGAAAAAACCTTCTATATCTAAGCTATATTCATTAAAAGAAGTAATAAACAGAATGAAAGAAAAAGAAACATCTATGCAGCATCTTAAAGGTGAAATTAATTTACTTAAAGTTGAAATTAAAGTAAAGAATTCTAGCATTATAGAAAACCCCTATTGAAGTTATTATTGGAGAAACTCAAGCTAATTTGATACCTGTAGCATCCACATTTTCAGTAGAAAACTCTGGTTTAACTAAGTTGACTCAACAACCCAAAGAAAAGGGTCAAAATTCTACAAAAAATTACTTAAATTTATTGGATAAAGTAACTTATCAAAAATGGAAGGTTAAAATCATACTAGTAATTGATCAAGAATTATTGTCGAAACCATTGCTTTAATGGACAATAGAGAAAATATGAACTGCAAAACAGAAAGATTAATTCTTACTAAATATTTCAAAAAAAACTACTCAGTCATTAAGTACGACTGATGGTTCTAAATTAAATATTAAATTTAAACTATCAAATGTTTTAATTTGTAACCAATAAATTTGTATTCCTATTACTTTTATTTTTATAACAAATTTAAATCAATTGATAATTTTGGGAACATTGTTCTTATCTATGATAGAACCAATTGAAAGAATTGATTTTAAAGGAATTTTGACTACCTTAAAGGGTAAAAAAATAGTATTTGAGTTTATAACTCCATCGCAAGTTAAAATAATAAATTAAATTAAAGAAAATTTGATTTATAAAGAAAATTAGTTAAACTTTTTACAGCAAGAAGTAAAAATTTTAAATATATTCCATAAAATGGAGACAAATCAATTTAAAACTCAATTAAAACAATTAAAAGAAAAAATGATTAGAGAAATATGTAATACTCTTTCCACAACTTTTTTTGGGATAGGAAGAAACATGTAGTAACACTTCCTTATATTAAAGGCTTGAATGAAAAGAATATTCCAACAAAAACAAAATCAACCCAAATGAATAAAACATATTTAGTACTCTGCAAAAAGGAGATTGAGACCCTGTTGGAAAAATTATTAATTCGTATAGCTACTTTCCTTGGATTTGTGTTG